TATGAAATTATTACAGTAGCACAATATGCACTAAGGTTAATTTCATGCAGTTATGATTTAATATTGTATCTAAGTTTCTTTACATCTCCCAACTGTGAACAGTGCCATGTACAGTCTCCATTACATGTTTGTATGTGTAAGTTTTGATAAATTTTAACATTTCATGACAGATTTGTATATACTTTGATACTGAGTAAAACAGACTAGTATCTACATATATTTTATGCATTAATGACATAACTTTTTAACTTTCTCACTATTTCTAGACCACACAGTTCATCTACAAGTTTTTTCAAATTGTTGCAAATCTCCAAAATTTTTTCCAATATATTAAAGAAAAAAATCCATGTGTAAGTGGACCCATGTAGTTCAGACCCATGTTGTTCAAGAGTCAACTGTACTTTAAATTATCTCTAGATTACTTAGAATAATTATAACATAAATGTTATGTAGTCATACTGTATTGTTTAGGGAATAATGACAAGAAAAAAAGTCTGTACATGTTCACTACAGATGCAATCATCTATTTTTTTCCAAGTATTTTCCATCTGACATTGGATGAATCCATGGATGCAAAACCCAGATACAGAAGGCTGGCTGCATATCAAGACAATTTATGTCTCACCTCAGCTCAAAACCCTCCCATAGGTCCCTATCTCACTAAAGTAAAAGTCAGTGAAGTCCTACATGCTCATTCCTCATTGGCTCCATGATCTCTCTGACCTCATATTATACTTACTCTTCTCCCAACTCTCACTCCATTACAGCAACACTGCTCTCCTGGTTATTCTTTGAACACTCTAGGCATGCTCCCATCTTAGAGACTTCACACAGGCTATATTCCCTCTGCCTGGAACGCTCTGCCCAGAGTATCTGCAGGGCTAACTCCTTCTCCTTTGCTCCTTCTCAGTGAGGCCTTCCTTTACTGCTATATTTAAAACTGCAACACCTAGTGAGCCAAGATCACGACACTGCACTCCAGCCTGGGTGACAGAGCAAGACTCCGTCTCAAAAAAAAAAAAAAACAAACAAACAAAAACAAAAACCAACAGCAACCCTTGCCCTCATATCCTGGCACTTCTTATTCCCTCCCAATTCACTGTTCTCCACAGCATTTATAACCTTCGAGTTATGCCATATAATTTATTACATGTTTATTTTGTCTTAAGCTAATAACTATAATGTAAGCTCTATGAAAGAAAGGATTTTCTCTATATTGTTCCTTGCCTAGCCCAAATGCATCAAATAGTGCCTGGCTCATAACAGGTCCTCAATAAGCATTTAACAAATAAATGCATGTACACTTGGTCACAACATGCCAAAACAGTGAAAGGTGATGTATGGTAAGAAACATGCAGCAGACATCTCTGGAAACAAAGAAGACCATGTGGTTCTAGAAAGAGAGTAACTAGCTGTCTGATTCTGACAACTTTCTATCCTTTTAACTCATTTCTTCCAAATTTAAGTTACCTCAAACCATAATACTCTTTAGCTTCACACTTTTCGAATGAATATGTTCCATAAAGCATAAAGAACAACTGCTTTGGTATTCCATAAAAAAATAACTAAGACTTTGTATTATGTTCTGCTAATACAAACGGTAATTTAGCAAAATAGAAAAAAAAAAAAAAGTCAGCTTTATATCACTGAGCCGAAATGTGGGCATTCTATGACAAAATAATATTATCTTTGAGAACTTCACATCAACACTTGCAACATCTATTCCAATATTGTACTGCTTTTCCTTTAAAAAAAAAAAAAAAAAAAAGTATATCCTTGAGCAAGGGATAGATTTTTCTGTGAAACTGAGAAATCTCAAGTGCATTGCAGGATCAGACTCCTAACCCATAAAATGAGGAGGGCAAATGTCTAAGGTCTCCTACAGCTCTGAAGTTTAAAAATGTGCGGATGGATAGCAACTGACATAACACATCTGCACTCACAAATAACATATACACAGTAAGAATGATTCATCCATCCCTGTATCATGAGAATGGATTATGAACCTGTTGATTTTACAAAAATTTAATACTGAAGACACTTAAGAGATCTTTAAAATCTAGCAAACAATTAGTATGAAAGGGCCACGTCAGAACTGAGTATTACTACAAATGCATAACATTCTGAGCATTAGACTATCATATATGGTACCATCAGAGGCAAGCAACATGCTATTTTTAAAAGGGAAGAGCTACACACTATATGCGCATGGTTGGTGTTTTTGTAACATTATTCTTAATCTCTTTGCGTGGAATATTAAAATATATTTTTAAAGGGCAGAGAACCGGCCAGGAACGGTGGCTTATGCCCATACTTCCAGCATTTTGGGAGGCTGAGGCAGGCAGATCACCTGAGGTCAGGAGTTCGAGATCAGTCTGGCCAACATGGCAAAACCCCATCTCTACTAAAAATACAAAAATTAGCAGGGAGAGGTGGCACGCTCCTGTAATCCCAGTTACTCAGGAGTCTGAGACAGAAGAATTGCTTGAACCCAGGAAGTGGAGGTTGCAGTGAGCTGACATCACACCACTGCACTCCAGCCTGGGCGACAGAGCAAGACTCCGTCTCAGAAAACAAAAAAAATAAATAAAAAACAGAACCACAACAGCATTAGTGTTTTCAAAAGTAGGTGATACTGATTTTTTTTCTATTTAGTTTTATGTTTGGCCATATTTTGAATATCTCCTACCAAAAAATAACAGATTTTAAAAACCTAAGTTGCATTTTTTAAAGAAATAATCTATAATAACTGATTTCGCAAATAGAACATTTATTAGTTTTTTGGCATCTTCACTCTATTATTTTTAATCCTCTATAACCCTCCCTTTTCCTTTAAGTGTTATTTCAACTTAAATTTTATCGTAAAAATGTCAGAAGACTTCCAAATTGGAATTTTGCAAAAGCAGGCATGAGAATACAGCACTAAAATTCACTTGCATTTCATGACTACTAATTTCATAAAATAAAGCAAAATAAAATTTTCGCCAAATTATAAAAATGATCCATCCTATAGAGGGAGGGACAAAAATAAATTCCAACATTGGACATTTAGTATCCACTTATAAATAAATATCTAATTTAAGTGCAGAGTCTGACAGACATGAGCTTGAATCGTGCCTCTGCCATTTACTACCTGTATAATCCTGGACAAGTTACTTAATCATACTAACCATCAGTTCCCTCATCTGTAAAATGAAAATGCCGCCTACTTAACGATGTTGACAGAATTAAATGAAATGTATATAAAGTGTTTAGTAAAGCATATTCTACCCGTTGAGTCTTCAGCACATGTTATTTTAACAGGGAACAGTGTTCAACAAATAAATGTCATGTATACCTTATCCTGATTATAATTTTACAAGAGAAAAAATATATTTAAGCACTAGAAGTACAATGAAAATATTTCATGATTCCATACGTGCTTCGAGCGCAATTCCTGAATTACCATAGCTTACTGTCACACCATAAAAGTATGCAAGTAGCAATGCCCAGGCCAAAAGAATGAGAATTGAATATAATACGTCCGTACTTATCCTGTGATAAATGCATGCCTTAGTAGATTTATTCATTAAAACTTGAATCTGAAAGGATGTGAAACCTACATAGATGGAAATTTTACACGCAAGGACCACCTGTCAAAAAGAAATAGTTCCCAACCTTCAGCAGTTTCGCTTTACTATTTTTTCCAAAGGCGTCTCCAGTGGCGATTAGCTACACTCAGTGTATATAATAAACATACTGTGGCATAATGAAAGGGAAATTATTTGCAATCAGAATGCCTACATTCAAATCTGTCTCTTACTACCTGTGTAAAGCTTCGACAAGCTATTAAAACAACGAAGCCTACATTTCAACATCTATAAAAGATAATACCTACCTATTCCACAGGCCTTTTGCGAAGATCAAACGCGAATGTACAGCAAGTGCCACATGTTATAGTTGAGGTTTTTATTAAAGGCAAGACTTCTTTTAAAAAAATAAGTCGTTATCAACTCATTACAGAGATATTATCAAACTTTTTTCACTCATTACTGCACCCCATGACGGCGTCTGATAATTCATTTTCATTTAAAATTGCCAAAATCACAACCTATAAGGTTGAAAGACGCTTATACCCCCCATAAATATACCTAAAGTAGAAAAGCATTTGCACCGATAACCGGAACATCAAAAAAGGCAGAATAATTTAGTAATTTCCTCTATAAACTCACCACTCATTTAAAAACACAGCTGGTTAAAAATAATTTACTACCTTCAGTGGGTAAGAAAATGCGCTTGAAGAGACATAAGGTGTGGACGTTTACATCTTAGGTATTCATTGTAGAAGGGTCAGTTTGTTCAAAGTAACCGTATCCAACAGGCAATCGCAAAACAAAACCAAGAGAACCCTGCTTATAGGTGTCAAGGATTTAAAACCAAATGGATCGCAACAAAAGAGCCCCCCCTCCGTTTAGTAAACAGATTCTCGAGCTGCAGGCTAGCCGAGGACCGGGCTTTTCAATAGGGGTCAGCTCACTCCACTCGGCAGTCACCTGGCGGGGTATTTTTCGCGAAGTTTCAAAGTCAACAAAGAAGTTCTGTGGCGAGGGGGTAGGGCCTGGCGAGCAATAGGCAGAAGGACGTAAAGAAAGACAAAACCCAGTGGGGGAAGGGTGCGGAAAACGCCCCCGGACGGCAGCGACAGCGGCCCCCTCTTCTGGGCCAGCGCGCGAAGGCGGGGACGAGGGAGGCCACGCCGGCCCGGAGCAGCCACGACGCCCCAGGACCCGGGCCCGGCCCGGCAGGGTCCCCGCCCCCCTCGGCGGCGCGGGCGGGAAACGGCTGGGGGCGCGCCGAGGGTCACCTTCCGCTCCCCGGACCAGAGGCCCCGCGGGTGGGCAAACGGCCCAGGCGCCCGCCCTGCCGCGCTCCAGCCGCCCACCTCGAGCGCCGCGGACCTGGCCGGGGCACGAACCCGGGAGCCGACGCAAGGGCTCGGGCGCCGCGCGTCGCCGACTTACCTTCCTCCGCGGTGTCCATCTTGTCTGGGGGGGTGGCGGTGACGCAGCCACGAGCTCCCGCGGCCGGGCGGGGAAAGAGGGCGGGGAGGAGGAGGAGGGAGCCGGGCCCGGGCAGGTGCGTGCGCTCAGGTGCGAGAGAGGAAGCGAGAGGAAGGAGAGGGGAGAGGGAGAGGGAGAGAGGCTGACAGAAAGCGAACCACAAGGGAGGGGGAGGGGCGGGAACACCTAGGGGCGAGGCCTGGGCGGGGCGCCGAGGCGGAAGGGGCGGGAGCTCCCCAACGACAGACAGTGTCACTTCCGGCGGCCGCGGTGCGCACGCTCGGATGTAGGCTAAGGCGGGGAAGGACCTTTTTCGGGGGTGCGGTGAATCACCGCGTGCTCTGGGCCACCTGGGGTAGTCGCCGAGAATGCGCCGGACAGCGGGGCCGAAACCTAATCAGTAGCTGAGCTTTGGTGACCGCTTCTGGAGGGGCGCAGAGCAGTGGGAAGAGGCCGCGAGAACCTAGCGCCCGCCCTAGCCGACGTGCGAGACAAAGGCTACGGCGCGGGGCTCTTCGGGAGGCCGGGAGGTGCCTGTGACAATGCGAGTCTGCGCTCCACGCTCCCGCACCGCGATGCGGAGGCCGAATGGCTAGAGTGGGCCCAGGCGTCAGCATTTCTGTTTGGCACCCGGGCCGTTGTGGTGCACGTTTTGAGGAACTACTAAAGCCTCACTGTGATGAAAAAGGCAAACGCTGACTTCACCAAAATTACTCCCAGGGAGACTTCTGCATTTGGCTGGAAGGACTATTTGAGTAAACCGCTGAGGCTGGGGGTTGAAACATAATCCTCCTTTAAGGGAGATCTGTTCGGATACCGAGTTAGGGACGCTTGCCTGCGCAGAGCTAAGGGAAGAACGGTCCTAGGCCAAGCTCTGTCCCCATCAGCACGTCACCCTCCCTCACTGTAATCCTTGACTGTTTCTCTAAATGAAGAATTATTTAGAGAATACAAATTAGAAGGGCCGCCAAGTCAGAATTGCCTGAGCGGGAGCAGTCTTTCCAGCCTCGAAAAATGTTTAAACAATATGCAGATGACCTAGCACAAATAAAGAATGCTAGCAACCGCTGTTATGTGTGAGTGGTGGAATTGGGAGGGCCCCTCCCGCAATCTTCATCAAATAGAATAAGGTTTAGAATAAAAATAATGAAATACAGTTTTTCAAAAAGAGCAGCGCTTGACTAATGTTTACTGATGTCACTCATGTTACTCAAGGCAGGAAAGAACTCAAACTCTACATAATAGGGACCCACTGATTTCAGGGGCTGGCCCTGATAATTAAGCAGACAGCCATTCTTTAAATTTGTTTTTTGTTGTTTGCTTATGTTTTTTTTTTCTTTTTTTCTTTTTTTGAGAAGAGGTCTCGCATCGTCACCCAGGCAGGAATGCAGTGGTGCGATAGTGGCTCACTGCAGTCTCACTATGTTGACCAGTATGATTTCGAACTCCTGTCTTCAAGCGATCTTTACGCCTTGGCCTCCTGAAGTGCTGGGGTTACAGACGTGTGCCGCTATGCCCTGCCTAAATATGTTTATATATACTACCTCCCAAGAAACAATTTGAAGACAGCTCTTTCCCCAGCTCCCCTCCTTCCGATCCAACTCCAACAAGAGCTAACCCTCCCTGGAAGACCTGTAGCAGAACACTTGTTGGCCTGCTGAGACTAGGGGAAAAGATCAGGACGATCAGATCTATCAGATGTTATATGGCATCAGGGCGAAGGATTCTGAAAGAAAGACTGAGGTTTGCTGGAGGAAGTACTGGTAGTGCCAAGGGCAGGTACGTGACCCTCAGAGCTGCAGAGCCAGGTTAGGATGAAGGGAATGTGTGTGTATGGGGGGCGTGGAGGGAGCCTTCCTTTTGTCTTTTTTTTTTTTTTTTTTTTTTTTTTGAGACGGAGTCTCGCTCTGTCGCCCAGGCTGGAGTGCAGTGGCCAGATCTCAGCTCACTGCAAGCTCCGCCTCCCGGGTTTACGCCATTCTCCTGCCTCAGCCTCCTGAGTAGCTGGGACTACAGGCGCCCACCACCTCGCCTTGCTAGTTTTTTGTATTTTTAGTAGAGACGGGGTTTCACCGTGTTAGCCAGGATGGTCTCGATCTCCTGACCTCGTGATCCGCCCATCTCGGCCTCCCAAAGTGCTGGGATTACAGGCTTGAGCCACCGCGCCCGGCCCCTTTTGTCTTTACATGCCTTCCCTTGTGATGTTCAAAGGAAAGTTAACCTTTTAACTAATTCTCCCTTCTGCATAGTAATTCCTTCTGGAATTGCCCTAACCTTTTCGCATTCAGACTTAGGCATTAAATATAGGAGTAATAAATCAACATTTGTTGAGTCCCCACTGTGAGTCAGGCACTAGTTCTCACAACAGCCCTTCCAATACATGAATCAGTCACACCTCTCTTGGTTGCCAGTGACAGGAACTCAACTGCTAGGCAGAAGGGAGGAAGGTACTGTTGATATGGACAGACTCCAAGAAGGGGAGGGACTGCTGGGACTACTGGAAGGAGAATGCCTCTCTGCCCCCATGCCTCAGCTCTGCCTCTCTCTCTGCACGTTGGCTTCATACTGTTGGACCAGCTTCCTCCATATGTCTGGAAACAAGGCCACTGACAGCTCCCAACATTTCATCTTCTGCCCCATCATCAGATAGGCGAGGTAAGGCTGATGATCTCTAGTCCCAAGTTAAAAATTCTCAGGGAAGGATAGTTCATTGGTCCAGCTAGTTACCTGCCCCTGAATCAAATGATTGTGCCAAAGATCTAGGATCTTTAAGAACATGGACATTGTCATGTTCTTGTAACTGCCATGTTCAGGTAAGAACAATGGACACTACCTTGTGGAAGTGGAGAAAGACCATCTCCCACAAGAAGGGGGAGGACAAAACAATAGATATCTATCAGAATTAGAGTTCAATTAAATTACTAGGTACTGATAGAACTCTAAAGCAATAGTTACCAAATTTGAGGGTGTCTCCATCATTGACACCTTTAACAATCTGATAAAATCTATGGATTTTGTTCTCAGAAAAAATTGGTTAAACACAGAACATTGCCTGCAATCTCAGGGGGGTATATAGATGCCTTGAACTCCATGCATGAATCCTAGGTTAAAAGACCCTCTCATGTAAAGTATTGAGAAAAGTGGTGATGTTCTCTTCCCTTTCTAAGACTATGGCAGACTGGGTTTTTTAGACCAACAGTTGGAAATTCTATATAAAAATATAAAAAACAGATTCTTTAAAGCACTGAAGGCCTGACAAAAATAGTAAGGTAACTACCAGACCAAAATCTTTTTTTGTTGTTTTTGTTTTTGTTTTTGTTTTGAGATGGAGTCTCCCTCACTCTGCTGCCCAGGCTGGAGTGGTGTGATCTCTGCTCACTACAACTTCTGCCTCCTGGGTTCAAGCAATTCTCTAGCCTCGGCCTCCTGAGTGGCTGGGATTACAGGCATGTGCCACCACACCTGACTAATTTTTGTATTTTTTGTGGAGACAGGGTTTCACCATGTTGGCCAGACTGCTCTCAAACTCCTGACTTCAAGTGATCCATCCGCCTCAGCCTCTCAAAGTGCTGGGATTACAGGCATGAGCCACCATACCTGGCCTACCGGGCCAAAATCTAAGGACAGGAGAGAATACCAAAAAGTAAATGGAACATGAAGGCTGCTTTTGTTTTGCTGAACTAGACAAACTTGAACTTCTGTTTGACAGTTTCTAGCAGCAAGAAGGACGGCTGTCCAAGTCCAGAGCCTGCCCAAGGTAAGGCATCTGTTAAGGGACCTTCCACCAGGAGCCTCGCCCAAGACCCACACTGCTGCTATCTCGGAATGGTGAACCAAGTAAATCTGACTTCTCCTGGAAACTTCTAGGAAACTTATCTGAGCCTTATTTTTTAAAAGTTTCTGAAAATTTGTACCCGTGAATCAGCCCTGGCATAGACTGTACCCCAAATCCATACCCTAGTGATCAAATAATCTTAAGCAGTGAATTTAGTTTGAAGTAATCTTGGACTGCTGGGATCCCCTAAGCACCTGGCAAAAGCAAACACCAATTCTCTGTGGAAGAATGTACCTGAGTGCTACTCATTGTCCCTAGAAATGTATTTGTGGAGATTCTTTGACAGATAGATGTGTGTGTGTGTTGGTGTATATACAATACACACACACACTTCACATTTAGCACAAGAACTAACACGCAACAGGTAGCAGAAACCATCCACAAAACCTCAGGTATGGAAGTTAGTAAACACAGATTATAAAGCTACTACACTATGACTATTTAAGAAAGAGTAATGAAACAATTTTATTTTAAAATCTCAATTTTTAAACTGGAATTACATCTTTTGCCACCATTTAAACATAAAATATAAAATTGTATTCATCAAGAAATGAGGATATGCAATGCATAATTTTTTAGGTTGCATGCAAGCAAAATCTTCAGAGAACTCTGCACTTTTCCATGGGCGAGGGCATGGCTGTCCTTAGGCATGTGAGAGTCTGTGGCCTGTGGCTCCCCAATGGCAGAGGCCTCATTTCATGTACCGATGTATCCCTGAGGCCAATACAGGGCTTAACACATAGTAGGGTGTCACTAAATTTTGGCTGAATGAGTAACTATGATTTTCCAGGAGATACTTTATGTCACTGAAATAGCAACATGTGTGTGAATGCTCTTCTTAGGAAAAGACAAATTCATACCATAGCTGAAAAATCAATCCAGTAACAACCATATGTTAGGGTTAGTGTGTCTATGCTCTTACATCGGGATTTTTTGGTTATAATGAATTCATTTTCAGTACTTCATGCAGATATGCTCAACAGTGATATACACCAAGTTAAATAATCAAACTAGAGCACCATGTGTTTCTTATACAATATTCACGTGAAAATTACTTACAATTTAACCCAGATTGTCACTAAAATGAAGGCCTTGAAGACCAGTTGTTCTTTTCTCCAAACTTTTGTTATAAACATTTTGAAATATTCAGAAAAGTTAAAGGATTAATATAATGAACACCTGTATGCCCAACCTAGATTCAACAATTGTTAATATTTAGCCATATTTATTTTAATGATATTCCTTTCTGTATCATTTGGAAATATTATGTATTATATATTTCCAAATATATATAAGTTCATATATACAGTTCACATATATATAGTTCATATATATAGTTCGTGTGTGTGTATGTGTATATATATATAGTTTTCTTTTGAGACGGTTTCGCTCTGTCACTC